TGGCTCACACCTGTAATCCCAGCACTTTGGGAGGCTGAGGCGGGTGAATCACCTGAGGTCAGGAGTTCAAGACCAGCCTGGCCAACATGGTGAAACCCCATCTCTACTAAAATACAAAAATTAGCTGGGCATGGTGGCACGTGCCTGTAATCCCAGCTACTCAGGAGGCTGAGGTGGGACAACTGCTTGAACCCAGGAGGCGGGGGTTGCGGTGAGCCGGGATTATGCCACCGATTGCACTCTAGCCTAGGCAACTAAGCAAGACTCCATCTCAAAAAAAAAAAAAAGCCTTTTCACACACCTGGCTGCAAAGTTACCAGTTCCAGAATACTTAGAATCAATCAAGTAAGATGACCAATACGTTCGTAAAACTCAAGGCACCAGGCTAAGTGCGTGCCATTACATGGCTATTCAATTCTCACAATTAGAGTTCTACTGATAACATTTTGGTTAGCCATCTGAGCCTAAAAAGCAGAATGGCATAGCTAGAAATAAAACTGTGGACTTGGACTTTTGTTTGAATAGTAAAAGTTCCACTTCTTAACAAATTCGGTGAATATCCTTATCTGTAAAATGGGTACAACAGGTGCCTTGTGAGAGCGTTTGAGATGACACATGTGGAAACACTGGCGCCTGGTGTCATTTAGCAAATAGTACCTGTGGATTCCATTCAAAAGCCCAAGTGTTTTCCCTTAAGCCAGAATGCTCTTTTAAAAAGCTGGCTAATTTTAGTGCAAATTGTATATCTTGGGCTAAGGGCTCTCCATGCCTGAGAGGAAGAACAATGCAGAAAAGTAGACTCCACTACTGGAGATTCTTACTCAGTGGGTGTGGGGTGTGGCCCATAAACATATTTTAATAAATATTCCAGCTGATTCTAGTATCAGGGATGCGCTTTGAGAAGCACCTCAACATGTTAAGAAAACCTCATTGCACAGCAGCACATTTGGGTCCCTTTTGTGAATAACAGGGCAAAGGATCTAATCACTGTCTTCCAAGAGACAGAGGTCAGCAGACTCTATACTGCTGGTTACCTAAAACTCTAGTAAGAATTCAATCTGACCAGTCTTGCCTATCCTAGGGCCCTTTGTGATGTAAACCATCTTGGTTGCTGGGGCAGTTCTTAAGGTAGAAACAGATGGCAGTATTCATCTGGATTCATGGCCATGGATGAACACCTGGTGTTGGGGACAGTTAGACCAGCTGGTCAAGCCAGTGATGTGACTGACACTGGAACAGAACGGAGCGGAAGGGCCCTCTCTGATTTCATGGGCTTCCTCTGGGCTGATACTAGCTGCTCTGGAAACCCCCCACTTCATCAGGCTCAGTGCTCCCACTGCTGGCGCTGCTCCTCGCACCCAGGTATTCCTGGGTAGCCTGAGGCCACCTGCACAGTGTCTCTCCTTTGCAATGCTTGAATAAACATGATTTCATAGCCAACCCCCTCCCCAGCCCCTTTTGTTTAGTTTCTATCATCTATGGCCTGACATGGTAGCAATTTAGCATGCCACTTTAAATTTACAGATTTAAAATGGGGTTGGCTAAATTCAGTATGGGTAATAGACAACCATTAGATATAGATTAAATTAAGACAGTATGTTTAAGTGCCAAGGTAAGATATATTAGAAAGGAGGGGAATTCACAGTTTCCTTAGAAAGTAAACTCTGGGATTACTCTATCTTGTTACTTTTGAAAGTTTCTGCTGAAAAAAGCCTTGAGCTGGGTGCCATGGCTCATGCCTGTAATCCCAGCACTTTGGGAGGCCAAGGCAGGTGGATTGCTTGAGCTCAGGTGTTTGAGAACAGCCTAAGCAACATGGTGAAACCCCATCTCCACCAAAAATACAAAAATATGAGCCAGGTGTGCTGGCATGGGCCTGTGGTCCCTGCTACTCAGGAGGCTGAGTTGCGAGGGTCACTTGAGACTGGGAGGTGGGGGTTACAGCGAACCGAAATCACGCCACTGCATCCAGCCTGGGCAACAAAGCGAGACCCTGTCTCAAAACAAATAATAGCCTATGCTAATCTTATTGAATTCCTCAGACAAGAGAAAGGGAGTGAACCTAGCTCCCATCTGGTGCTCTCTCTGACCCCCTCAAATTTCTAGCTGCAGCATTTTTAGACTGCGGTTCAGGAGCAGACTAATAAACTTACCTCTGGGTGTGATGGTCATTGCAAACATCTGATTCTCTGAGCGTCTCCAGCAGCGGCTCTGGACACACCTTCCTTCACTGTGCTTCCTGACATATCCCTGTCCTTCCCCACGTCAGGAGTGATGGTGGAGTATCTAGTTGGAGTGCCAACTGAGGCAGAGCACAGATCCACCTGTCATCTGAGAGCTGTAGGTATTTAGGCAACTCTTTATTGGATCTCCTCACAGTAAATTACTTCCAGGTGGAGTAAATGCAATTTACCTCTCTGACAAAGCTCAGAGTGAATGTGCCCCTGAGTTCCAGCCAGCTCCTCATCCATCTCCTAGGCAGTGTGAATAAGGAAAACTGATATTTACAGTCTAAACCCTGCATGCCACGAGCTCTGCCTGCCCAGCTGGTCCAGGAAATGAAAAGGAGGCTGCTGCCGGTTAGGTAGATGACAAGCACACCCACGGGAGCTGTGGACCATAAGCAAGGGCTCCTTACACTCCTCTGCTCTCCCGGGGCCCAAAAATCTTTACCAGACAGAATTTGAAAATAAAGTGCTTTATTGCTGAGGATCCCACAGAGCTTCAAGGCGGCCATCTAAGGGCTAGGACTGAAGTCCCCTACCTGTGGTGGCTCTGGTGAACACAGACAGTTGAGACTTCAACATTTCAATCCCATAGAAGGCAAGGAAGTGTGGCTGGGGGCTGGGGAGGCAGGGAAGAGGTATGAGGTGTGCCCGGAGAGCGGATTATGAGCATCTCTTCCAACTCTGCGTTCGTCGCATTCAGTGATGCTGGGAGCAGGAAACAGGCCGCTGCAGAAGGACTGAAACCACAGAAGTTGCCCACAAGCAACAAATCAGGGCTTTTTTTCCCTCCCAGAGAACTGGTTTACCATCACTACAGATGTGTGACACGCTCTCCTGAGCCACTGCTAAGCTCGCCCAAGCCTGGCTACTGTGACAAGCTATCACCCCCCCACTCGGGGCAGTGCCAGCTCCCAGCCCTGCACATCCCTACAATCAGCAGAACAGAGCGGCCTAAGCGAAGGAAAGGGACCAGAACTGAGCAACCAGTTCCCTGCCTGGAGTCTACTTCCCTCAGCTGGGATGGCTTTCAGCCCAAAACGAAAGTGGTGTCCAGCAGAAAGGCAGCTTGGGGCTGCAGAAACCCTCCCATACAGTGGCTCGTGGCAGGGGGTGGGGAAAGAAGGGCACGTGCACCACCCACAGATAAGGAGGAGTGGCCAGCAGGGCTGGATGCGCCCCTGGCCAAGGATGGCTGTGTGGATGATAAGAGTGGCCCTTCCTCAGCTGGCCATCAGAGTGGGGTGTGAGTGACTCACTGGAGATCCCAGGAATCGGGATGTTTCTGCAGCTGCTGGCTAACACCTATGTGCAGAGCCGGTGCAGAAGAGCCCAGCTCCCAAGGAGGAGGAAAATGAAGGGCCAGGTGGGACAGCACCTCCCAGCAGGCAGCAGCGGGAGGCGGCAGCAGACACAGGCAGGTATGCACATTTCCAGGGCTCCCAGGGACACCCACCCTGGGCCCTCCATACCCTTCAACCTTCTCACTAACCCCACTGAGACATCTGCCTCGGGGTCACAGGCAGCGAGCAAGCAGCCTGGGACCAACCTTGCTGGGGGAGCCCTTCACTCACCCTGTCTGGGCAGGGGCGGGGTGAAGGCCCTACCAGGAAAGTTCTCCCGCCCAACAGCAGCAGCAGCAGCAGCAGCGCGGGCCCTCTACCTGCAGCGTCTGCTCCGCAGCCCCGGCATTAGTACTCCTTGGCCTCCTGCAACTGTGCCAGGTACTCCTCCAACGGGGGGTTGTCGGGGCAGGCTCGGTCGTTGTTGGGGGGGCGCACGGCGTGGAGGCGGCTCCAGTCCCCCTTGCACAGGATCCAGGGCAGCGTGTCCACCTTGAAGTGCAGCTGCGGTGACAACTGCGGGCTGATGAGGTTGGGCGCGCCGGCGCCCTTGCCGCGGGTCAGCAGCCGGCGGTGGTTGTCATAGCAGCAGTGCTGGGCGCCCAGCGTGCTGCTCTCCTCGGACAGCAGGGAGCGCAGGCAGTAGCGCGCCGTGGGACGGTAGATGTCCAGGCGCTCGGAATGGCCACTGGCGTCCCTCCACCGGTATCTGCGGCCCTGGCGCTGGTGGTCCCGCAAGCTCACGGTGCGTTCCATGGCCCCCCGCGGGTAGACACACGGGCAGCTGGGCAGGTCCCGCTGCATCTGGCTTATGTAGTTGGTAAGGAAGTCGTTCTTGCAGGTCAGCCACTTTTCGCAGCTGTCCACATCTGCAGAGGGCAGGGAAGTGCAGGAGGGAAGCCAGTCAGAGAGCCAGCCACACCCGTGTGGGGTGGGGACTAAGGGCCAGTGCAAGGGGACAGAAGGCCCGGGCCCCAGCTGGTGCCTAGCCCCCCACTGACCTTGGCCAAACAAATCTGTAGCACTCTCGTTCAGGTGCTGCCACTCCTCACTGAGGGGGCCCGAGATGTCCTTGTCCTCGGTGTCTTTGGGAAGAAAAGAGGCCAGGCTGGTGACTCCCCAGGGCACCTCAGTGCCCCTCATGGGGAACCCCAGCCCTCACTAGGCTCTCAGTGCCCACAGCAGCCGAGAGAAGCCTGGGACAAGGCAGGATGACCATGTTTGTGAGCTTCCTGCATCCCCTCTCCCAAGCCCACCCACTTTTCCAAGGGACCAACCCTCCAGTCTAAGCCACACCAGCCACTCCTATGCGGGGGCGGGACTCATCTCACCAGAGCAGAAGGGCAGTTCACAGGTGCGGGACTCGATGAAGGTGCAGCTGTAGCCACAGGACCGAGTTCTTTGCTGTTTACCAGCGCTGCAATTCCCACTGCAGGGAGACCAGGGACTCCACTCCTCCTGAGTCTCATGATCTGGGTCAAGACAGGGAGCTGGGGGTGAGTGCACACAGCCCACAGGGCGCATCGGTGCACATCAGCACAGGGCACCCTTTCCTCAGGTGGATGCAGCCCATGCCAGGGCTGCCAGCCTCATGAATGAAACATGGGCTGGAACATGGGCTGGATTTCAGCTTCCACCTGCACTGTCAACTGGGTACCCTTCTGCAGTGAACAACCTGTGCGAAGAGACAGAACAACCCCTAGCCACTTGCTCTGTGCCAACACAGCAATGAAGAGAAAATGATACCTGGGGCTGGGAGCCATCTGACTGCTATTGGTGTGACCTTGCGCAAGTCCCCCGACATCTCTGAGCTATAGTTTTTTTTCGTTTGTTTGTTGAGTCAAGGTCTTACTTACGCTTTTGTCCAGGCTGGAGTACAATAATGTGATCACGGCTCACTGCAGCCTTGAAGTCCTGGGCTCAAGCAATCCTCCCACCTCAGGCTTCCTGGTAACTGGGACTACAGGCACACGCCACTAAACCTGGCTAATATTTATTTATTTATTTATTTTTCAGACGGAGTCTGGCTCTGTCTCCCAGGCTGGAGTGCAGTGGCATGATCTTGGCTCACAGCAACCTCCACCTCCTCGGTTCAAGTGATTCTCCTGCTTCAGCCTCCCATGTAGCTGGAATTACAGGCACACGCCACTAAACCTGGCTAATATTTATTTATTTATTTATTTTTCAGACGGAGTCTGGCTCTGTCTCCCAGGCTGGAGTGCAGTGGCATGATCTTGGCTCACAGCAACCTCCACCTCCTCGGTTCAAGTGATTCTCCTGCTTCAGCCTCCCATGTAGCTGGAATTACAGGCGTGCGCCACCATGCCCAGCTAATTTTTGTATTTTTAGTACAGACAAGGTTTTACCATGTTAGCCAGGCTGGCCTTGAACTCCTGACCTCAAGTGATCTGCCCACCTTGGCCTCCCAAAGTACTGGGATTACAGGTGTGAGCCACCACAGCGGGCCAAGCCTGACTAATTTTTAAATTTTTTGTGGACAGGGTTTCGCCATGTTGCCCAGGCTGGCCTTGAACTGCTGGGCTCAAGCAATCCTCCAGCCTCAGCCTCCAAAATGCTGGGATGAAAGCCGTGAGCCACCCACCTGGCCTGAGCTATAGTTTTTATGTCAGTCAAAACCAAGGCTGCCAATATTCCCCTTGCACTGGGCATATTTAATAATTTCCCAGCTGGGCATGTAATCCCAGCACTTCGGAAGTCTGAGGCAGGCAGATTGCTTAAACTCAGGTATCCAAGACCAGCCTGGGATATATGGCAAAATCCCATCTCTACAAAAATTTTTAAAAAGCTACTCAGGAGCCTGAGGAAAGAGGATCGCTTGACCCAGGGAGGTTGAGGCAGCAGTGAGCTGTGATCTTGCCAATGCACTCCAGCCACGGCCAGACCAAAATCCTCAGACTGTGCAGAGCCTGAGAACCAGTGCTTTCTGTGGAACCCCCAAAATACTGACAGCTGGTTCCACACTTCACAGGCAGGCCAGTGCTGGCACCAAGAGTTTAAGGGAAATTAATGGGAGAAAAGCTGAAAAACATGAATATTTTTCCTTTTTTTATTTTCAGAGACAGGGTCTTGCTCTGTACCCCAGGCTGGAGTGCAGCGGTGTGATCATGGCTCACTGCAGCCTTGACCTCCTGGGCTCAAGTGATCCTCCCACTTCAGCCTCCCAAGCATCTGGGACTTCAGGCAGGTACCACTATGCCCAACCAATTTTTGTGTTTTTTTGTAGAGACAGGGTTTCACCATGTTGCCCAGGCTGGTCATGAACTCCTGAGCTTAAGCAGTCTACCTGCCTTGGCCTCCCAAAGTGCTGGGATTACAAGGCATGAGCCACTGTGCCCAGCCAGTCATGAAAATTTTCTGTGAGTTTACATTATTTTAGTGAATTGGAAAGAGCCTGTCACAACTTAGTCTTAATCACAGGCACCTCTGTCCATCGACAAGACACCAGGGCTCCAAGGGAAATGGCCACAACTATGCATAAAACATGTCTGCACCCACAGGAAACCTAAACCACAATCTGCAAAAATAGAAATCATCATCACGGCCAGGCGAGGTGGCTCACGCCTGTAATCTCCACACTTTGGGAGGCTGAGGTGGGTGGATCACTTGAGGTCAGGAATTTGAGACCAGACTGGCCAACATGGTGAAACCCCATCTCTACTAAAAATACAAAAATGTGCACATGGTGGTGCACACATGTAATCCCAGCTAATCGGGAAGCCGAGATACAAGAATCATTTGAACCCGGGAGGCGGAGGTTGCAGTTAGCCAAGATCATGCCACTGCACTCCAGCCTGGGAAACAGAGTGAGATTCCA